TGGCCGAGGGCTTTCTGTTAGCTTTATTTAATACATATGAAAGACTCTGTGTTGCTGTCCCTATTACACACACAAGGCAGATTCCACAGTGGGCTATATTTGGTCTTGCATGCCTATTTTCTCCATAGTTTTACTTACCATTCTCACAAAGGATAAACAGACAGGCATGTGCTTATATATTTGGAAGAGCATATTTCCTCATACTCTACGAGAGATTTCTTTGAATTCCCTTTCATCATTTGCAATCGTGCCCTTGGAAGTTTTAGCAATATTTGTTTCAAATAAGTTTATTTTTGTATGATTGATTGAAATCTCAAGCTGCAATTAAGAAAATTGCAGTGAGAACCATTAAAGGGATAGCATCATTTTCTCCCCTTTCCACTAAAATGTCAGGTTTCAATGTCACCGCAAGATAACCCAATCGCGTGCTTGTACACCGTTCACCCGGGCTGGAGTAAGCGTAAAACCGTCTGGAGTACTAATTACAAATGACTAGAAATAACGACACGCGGCAGAAGGAAAATGAAAGGGCCCAGTCCTTATTACTTAACCGCCGAGGTGTATACGCGCAGTAATGCGGGTTATTGTGAAGCAGTCTGTTCAGTAAATACACAAACATCCATCCCCACTTGTAGATTAGCCTCAGCCCCCCCCTCCCTCTGTCTCTCTGCCCTCTTTCTCTCCAATTATAAACCGGCACCAGGTTTTCTCATCAGCCATCTCCATGTCTCCAAATGGCTTTTCAGTGTCAGGCCTATCAGGAAATTAACTCATCATGCAGTGACAGCTGCTAATTTTTTCCCCTTACATGTCAGATGGATCGCCTGCTGAAGCTAATAATGAATCACCAATCCCTGATTAGAAGGTGCTTCCGAAACATATAACTGCCATCTGAGCTAACTTTTTTCTTCATATAAAATGATATCACCCTAGAGGAGTAGAAAACGAATTGTATTCTTCAACAAGATGGAACAGGGATAGGCTGTTTAAGTGAGCCGTGTGCTATCTTAAATTATGGGCTAATATTGCACCGTAAAATAAGTGAAAACTCACAGCTCTTTTTTATTTTGCCAAATGAATGACCTTCTGTTACTTAATCCTCTCACTACAACTAACTTTGTTGCAAATTTCAGGAGTGGTTTAGTCTTCATCCTTCTCTCTTTTTTATTCTGTTTACAGCTTTTATGCTCAGGAAGTCTACGGAGCAGGGAAAGTTGGAAAAAACCCCAGCAGTGGTTTTCCCAGGCCTGCGCCTACCACACCGCCCGCTCCCGGCACAGCTCCGCCCGTAGCTCCAAGCCCACCTCTCAAGCCCCGTGATTTTCTGAAGGGGACTCACCTGCGTTTTAAGCTCAGGGTCAGCTCAGGGCTAGCCCGAGGGGCAAGAACTTTGATGCGCAGAGATTCCTACAGCAATTATACAAGCTGAATCCACTGCCCACAAAAATCACAAATAAATTTCTTCCAGGACCTCACAGCTAACACTTCTGGTATTAAAGCAGCATCTGTAAATGAATGACAGCAGTGCTTGCAGCACTGTGCACAATCCCCGTGTGCATACCTCAGCGCATCAACTGTTGGCTCTGGCTCGCCTCACCTCCATAGCGAAGTGCAGCTGGTAGTCAGGCAGAACGGTATGTAGCTGCGGGCACTTCGGGTTGCGTCGGTTTTTGGGGGTTTTTATTTCGTTTCTGCTATAGGAAATATTTCTTTAAACGTAGTTTCCAGCTATCTCTTATCTCCCATTTCTCCCCAAAGATGGAGCCTGAGTTCAGGGGCCAGGAGACACTGCCTCAGGAGGTGTGTATCTGATTCTTAAGAAATGGAGGGCAAAACTGCTTGCCAGACACATCTCTTCTTCCTCTGGCTTTGTTTTCATTCAAGGGTTTTTTGTTCACTTTTGGTTGTTGTGCTGGGGTTTTTTTCTCCTCTGCATACTAGTTCAATGCATCCTAAACCCTTACATTTTTACCTGTTTGGCATTGTTCACAGTAGGATCCAACTTTGTTAATGTTCTTCAGAATGGATAACGAAGAGGAAATTAAGCCAATGGCTCTGGCAGTCAGAATATCAGAAGGCAGCCGACTGACACAGGAATATGGCACTCGCAACCACCGCTTCCATTACAGCGTAGCCCTTGGTTTTTCCAGGAGACAGGCAACTGAAGGTGTTCAAACCAGACAGCAAACCACACGTTTAGGAGTGAATGGCTGCCTGGGCTATACACCTTCCTAGATCCACCGCACAAGTTCTCCTACTGTGCTCCCACGGTGGACGCTACCCGTGGCAAAGGGCTCCTGCAGCCCCTGAGCCTGCTCCCTGACATGCCACGGGCGCCTCGCCAGCACCAGGCTTGGCCATCCTGCGGGTCAGGTCCTTTTCAGGTGCTGCTCTACCCCGAGCGCCTCCCTCCGCTGCCTCCTTCCCCGCTTCCCAGGGCAGAGGGCAGATCCATGGAGTGATCCAGCTAATCTCCTCCCAGCTTATGATATGGCACAGTGCCAGGAGCTCAGGCATGGTGGGGAGACGAATGCCAGGGAGGAGTTTCCTAAGCCCTGGGAGAGATCCGCCATAGCCCCGACTTTCAGCGTGTGGCAGAGAGCATTTTAGCATGGGGCTGGGACAGTGCGTGGAGTCCTTAAGCAGGCTGTCTGCACGGGAATGAATGTCACCCTTGATTTCTAATGCTACATTTGTAGGGCACTAATAAGTTAACTTTAAAGAGCACATTAAAAAGAAAAAGAAGGAAAAAAAAAAAGGCCCTAGAAAAATATTAGCTCTCCTGATCAGGCTGCACTCAGAGAGAAGTATCGTTAACCTGAGCTTCCAGGTAATTACAGCACACGGTAGGTTAGTGAATCCTTTCCAATGCTCCCAAGCACACGAACACCTACCACTGGTTTTTTTTATGCAAAGGTCTGCTCTTTTCATTGTGCATACAATGTGATTGCTGGTTTGACACTGCAGGCTACACTGGTTTTATGAAGGATTAAATGCCACCTGAGACATATTTATCCTAAATAAATCACAAATGGTAAACTGCAGCATGTCAGTGTCAACACCCTGTACTGCAGCAGAAAGGTTAGCCATACAGGACTAAGCACAGCAAAGAATTAGCATCCAAGCTGCAAGACCACAGGGCTACAGTTAACAGGAGAAATGATCAAGAAGAAATATTTCCACTGAAAAACATTCCGTTTTTTGAACATCTGTGAGACTCTTGCAGAGGGCCATCATTTTGTAAAGGTCACCTTTTTCCTGATAACAAACGGGAGTTGATCCTGTCACTGTTTGCTGAAGACAGTATTTAAGAGTAAGTGAACAGCCTGTCACTTTTAAGAAAGATGAGCAAGTCAAACTCGGCTAATTATGAATCTCGATGTCTAACTTGAAATTTACTTTTTTGGGGGTTTGACAAAGACACAACCTTAATTCCTGGAAAATAATAAAATTTAAAAAATAATAATAAAAAGAGATGAAAAGGCAGCAGGATCTTATAGCCCCAGAATGAAGCACCTTTTCTAAGCAGCTCTATCAGAAAATACATTTTTAAACAGTTGCTTCAGGAAGGAACTATTGTTTTACGTCACCCCAACTTTCTTACAGTTGATAATTTTAAGATATTAAACATGATAGGAAACCCAGTTATCTCTAAGTCAGCATGGCTTATACCCTAAACACTTACACTATTATATTAAGCATGCATGAGGCACACTTCAGAAATTAGATTCTTTTATCTTTATCTATCTAGCGAGCTAGAGAAAGGAAAAGAGAAAATGCAGACATAACAGA